TGTGTGTGTGTGTGTTTACATGGTCATTTGTATGTGTTTGTAGTCTCCACTTCGCTTAGTTTCTCCCCACTTCAGAGACCAACTGGCCTCCTCGCTGAAACCAAAGTGCCATCTCCTGGCACCCTCAAAGTACTGCACCGCACCCATTCACAGAAAGACACCTGGTGATTTTACTGGATGAGTTTAGTTTAGCCTAACAGAATGAGCATAATGCACATTTTCCTGCTTTTATATGGCTCCTGTTTTAAGCGAAAGGGAAGTGGGCTTTCAGCAACAGCCAGTTGGACTGACGAGTAGTAGATCTTGCCTCAAACGTTGTTTTTTCTCCCCACACACCCCCCTTTCGAGTGAGCAGCTCTTAAACAGGCAGACAGAGACTTGGCCGTACTTCTGCAAAGGCTCTGCCTCTCCCCAAGGTTTGTTTGCATTTTACCGGCATCTCTTTACATACTCTGCCAAGCTGTGAGATCAGTGCCCACTCAGAAATACCATATGAAATGTATAATGTAAGACGGGCTATTAAAGTCCGCTAGCGTTTGGCCCTGTCACAGAGAGGCATAGTTGTTCCGCATAACCGGTCATGCAGGGAAGGAAGGGAAGAGGAGGGGAAAGTTTGTTTCTCCAAATGCAGCTACTAAAATGGATGGTGATGACTATTTTCCCCTCATAACCACAGAAATGAAATGTAATTTGTTATATCAAATCTGAATAACTTTTTTGAGGCCCCTGAGATGTATTCGATACCTTTTGCTTATTGCATTACGAATCCAAGGGTATTCAGGGTTAGAGTAAAGGATAAGTTAAGTCATGTTTACAGTTCCAGCCTCATTTGCTCACAATCCACAACTGTAAAGCGATACTGAAGACGGGAGTGTATGCGTTGCTTTTTATGTCTGAAGCCTAAACTGGAGGTAATTAGGATTCTTTAACTTCTTTAGTCAGGTACTCAGGGACTCAGTTCAGTGTGTAAAAAATTACAAAATAAGATACAAATAATTAAGAAACGTTTCCCTTAAAGTGTAAGTCAGTTTAGTGAGTTCAGTGTGTGTCAAATCTTATCCTTGATTTAGGAACCACAAGGGGATTTTCTCCCCTTTAAAAATACTGGATTGAGCTACAGTAGTTTTACTGAAATAACATGACCATTTTTATTATTTTCATGACTCCTGTTCCTCTGCTGTATCTCCTTCTGACTCTTTTCGCTCCCTGCGTTCTGTACAGTCTCACTTGTGGCGACGGGGTGGAGACGAAGGGAAGCGAGAGACAGACAGACAGAAACTGTGACATCTGTCACTGACAGCAGAGTGATGGAGGGAGAAAATGGGAGACAGGAAGGCATGGAGAGAGAATCACTTTTTTCATTTTCACCTTTCAGCTTCCCATTAGCCGACAGCGAGAAGCTAATGAAGGAGCAGTATGATAATCTGTTGTTCTTCCATTTCGTGCTTTCCACTGTCCTGTCAGGCCTGGGGAGGTACGGGATGGTGGCAGAGCTGTCACAGCTTTAACATGGGACCTGTTTGCATTGGTTGAGAATATCTCATGAATGTCTAGATTTGAAGAGTCTGTATTTTTGTTGTTGTTCTTTACATTGACACACAGTACATCTAAT